CCAGAATGTACCGTGGATACCTGAGAACAGTTGACAGATCCCATAAGGGACACTACAGAGGGGACTCCTGTTGGGGGTAGGAGGGTCCAATGAGTCGGTATTCTGCTCAGATTCTGTGATCTCAGAGAAGTAGGGCAGTCAGGCTAAAAGGCCCTTCAAAGACATCCAGTCCACCCCTCATCCAAACCACAAATACAGTGCAGTGTGTATCCCTGACACCAATGGGATCCGAGACACTGCCACCTCTCACCAGAATTGCTGTCCTGCTCCTCCTCATGGTTTCCCTGTAATCTCCCCATCCTTGGGAGTCTACATCCAACATAGCAGCTAGTGATCATGTTAAAACAGAAGTCAGATCATGTCACTCTTCTGCTTAAAACCCTCGATTGGGCCCCCATTTCACTGGATAAATACAAAGTTCATGCAACAACCCATAAACCTGGGACAACCTGGTTCTCTGTGATCTGATTTCCTCTTCTACTACTCTCAGCCTTGATCACTCCACTGTCGCAATGCTGAGCCCAATGCTGACCCCACAATGCTCCTCCACAACAGACATACTCCTGCTCTAGGGCCTCTGCATTCACTGTTCATTCTGCCTGGAATACTCTTCCTCTACATACCCACATGGCTCATTTGTTCACCTCCTTCAAATCTTTGCCTAAATGTCACCTCGTTTAAATTGCACTATCTCCCCTCGCCCTTCTAGGACTCTAAATTTCCCTTATCTTGCTCAATTTTTTTTTTTTTTCTAGAGCATTTCTCATGAAACATACTCTGTAGCCACATGTTTCCTGAGTGGCTCCCCTGCTAAAACATAAGCTCACGCAGCAAGGGGATGGCACCTGGCTGCAGCAGGCGTGGGGGCTGACTTCTGCCTCCCTCCCTGCAACTTCTTGATAGGTCTCCATTCTGCACTCTAAAGTATGCACAGACTACCTCCTTCAGGACAGAGTCCCACCTTGCTGTGCTTTGGTGAAGGTCCCACTTTTTTGTTTTAAACTGAAATCAGGCCAATTAATAAAGGTATCATGTTTCTCTCTACTGCTTCTCATTTAGAAATGAGGCCTTAAGCCAGGTGAACATTTTTAGAGGTGGACAGAGGAAAAATGGAAAAATTGGGGGAGGGAAGAAGCAAAACAAAGATCCAAGGAAGAGGGACCTGTTGAGTTTCTTCTGGCCGGCATCAGACACAGCACCATTCCACTGGTGCCTTCCTCCCACCGAGATAGCTCAACCTTCTTGGAATCCCTGTTTTTCAGAGAAATCAAGTGAGTCTACACAGGAGAACACCAGATCAAGGACTCATGACAGTAGGCCTGGCAGGCAGGGGAGGGGATGAATGACAGATCGAAGACTATATGCCCCCTGCCTCCCGCCAAACTCCCCAGCAGTGAGCAGCTGACATTATTCCCAGTGCTTATCCCATGTCAGCAGGGAGGCCAGTCCATAGCAGGAGCATAGAACTGGGGAGAATGAGCAGGCAGCACCAGAAACATTGGAGGCTCTAAAGACAGAAGGGTCTAAAAGAAACAAAGCCTGCTTGGGTTAGATATAGTGAATCTGAGGTGAGGAAGTGCTGTCTGTGGTCAGCAGGGAACTGAAGGGAAAAGCAGCTTCTGCAGAATTGCAGCACCACATGGGCTCCTGGGATTACCAGGTAGCTCAGGGGAGCATATCCATGCAGTTAGTTTTGCTTTAAATCTAGCAGATGTGACTCAGGTTTGGCTTTGACCATAGCATTCACTCTGCATTTCCAGGCCCCATTTCAGTAGGGGATGGGACCTTGGTCAAGCCAAAGTCTGATTAGCTGGAGAGACCAGCCAGCATGTCATCAGTGCCCCGGGAATATTAAATAATGTTTACAAGGGGATAACGGTGGGGAAATGATTACCAACGCTAAGAGGCAATCAACAGCGGGGAACTCCTCCACTGCTCAAGTGGTGAGAAATTCGACGGAATGAGGCTCAGAGCAGCGAGGGTTTGTCATGGGGACAGTAGAAGGCGTTGGAAAGTTGCTACCTCTGCTGATTCTGTTAATAGGATGAACCAGCCTTGCAAATAAGAGCCAGACCCCAGGAGGCCTACATTCGAGGGGATTTTAAAATCAGGCCAGGCCAATAGCTTCACTTTTAGATGTGTTAGAACTGGAAGGGAGCTTAGAGATCACCAGTACCACTGGTTCTGTTTTGAAGGCCTCTGCCTTCCAAAAATACTGCAAATATTAAGTAATAATTAATCTGTTTTCACATTTTTTATTCATCAAAGATACAAGATACACTTCTAGCTGGAAAAAGCGGGAGAAGACCTAAAGTTGATGTCACTGCAGCCCCAGACAAGTATTGGTTTTTTTTTTTTAATCAGCTTAGCTGTATTATCCTGTATAAATGCATGATTTCCCTTTTGAAAAAATTTAAAACATCATAAGGGTCAATGTTTTAAGTACCTGTGGGAGCCTGCAGAATCTTTATCAGAAACTCTGAATCCAAGCCAACCCTCTTTAAGCAAACAGCTAAGGCTCAGAGAACATAAGCAGTTAGCTCAAGGTCACACAGCTGGCTGTCAGCAGGCCTAAGACTAGAGCTGGGATGCAGGGTGGAGGGAAAGACTGCCCCAGACACACAGGGCAGCACAGGAGCAAATCAGAACCATGAACACAGCACATCAAGTAGACACTGGATATCAGTGGGCATGGGCTGGACCCTTCTCCTCAGTATTCACTAGCTATGTGACCTTGGCAAAATGATTTAAACTCTCTGGGCCCATATTATTATCAGTGGGGGATAACTAGTACTTACCACTTATTGTTGTGAGGATTAAGTGAAAGAACACAACAGAGCACTCAGTAATGTGTGTTGTCTGTGTGGAGGGGATACCAACAAGCCTGGGGGAACAAGGTTACATGATCCAACTTCTAGGTGCTGCCCTGACAATGCCAGTAGCAGACAAATCGTGTCCCAATGAAGCACTAGGTACTAACTGAAATACTATTATTTTCAGGTAACATTACTCAAAACTGAGTGTGCCTCAGATTCCAGGCCCCATTCATTCATTGCCTCTGAATCCCTATAGGGTGGGACTTGGGAAGCTGCACTCCTAGAAATTACTGAGATATCATTTACATGCCATGAAATCCACCACTTTAAAATATTCACATAGCCAGGCACAGTAGCTCACACCTGTAATCTTAGTACTCTGGGAGGTTAAGGTAGGTAAGATTGCTTGACTCAGGATTTAAGACCAGCCTGAGCCAACAGTGAAACCCCATCTCAACTTAAAAAACTAGCTGGGTGTTGTGATGGGTGCCTCTAGTCCCAGCTATTTGGGAAGCTGAGGCAAGAGGATATCTTGAGTCCAAAAGTTTGAGGTTGCTGTGAGCTATGACACCATAGCACTCTACCCAGGGCAACAGAGTGAGACTACGTCTCAAAAGAAAAAAGTGTACAGAGTCACAGTGTTTTTTAGTGTAAGGTTGTACAACCATCACCACCATCTGATTCCAGGGCATTTTTATCACCCTCAAAAGAAACCCTGGACCCATTAGAAGTCACTCCCTATCCTTTCGTCCTCTGACAACCACCAATCTACTCTGCCTCTCTATGGATTTGCCTACAGTGACATGTCACCTGAATGGAATCATTTAACAGGTGGCATCTGTGTCTGGCTTCTTTCACTTAGCACGGTGTTAAGGTTCCTCCACATTGTAGCATACATCAGGACTTCATTCCTTTGGAATCTGCAGTTTTAACAAGCTCTCCTAGTTGGTTTTAGTGAGTGGGCTTTTGGAGAAAAGGAGGAAGAAATTCACAGAAGGTGAAATTTCAGGTTATTACTAAGATACAGGGCTTCCTTCCTCCAGGGACTACAGAGGATGGGCAGGGTCTCCTGGGCATTCTGTAGGGAGAGAAGGGTCTACAGATAGTGGCTTGGTAGATTAACTGCAAGAGATTCACACAAGGGGATTCATCTCGAAGACTTTAATGTACATTATGCTCTCGGAAAAACATCTCCAAAGAAATAAGTGGAACTAAGTTTAGCCGGCAGGGATTCTTGTTCAAAAACCTGGTGTAAGCCCCAGCCTTGGAAAGCACAGGGGATAGCACAGGGGCTCTGATCCTACTACAACATTTTGAGGTACAGGAGGCAAGGGCTGTGTGCCTGCCTAGAGACAGAACTTTGCCCACACAGCATGATGGGCATGACCTCAGGACTCCTGGGAAACCAGTGCCATTACTCTGATGACTGACAGCTCCACTGCAGGCTGGGAAGATTTAGACTGACCAGGTCATCTCCAGTGCTTGAAAGAAAAGGCACAAAACTTCAACAGGGCCAACAAGCCTACTCAGGGCAAGGCTCTTTCCTTCTGCTGTTGACTCTCCAGGTCATCAGAAACAGTCATGGTGCCAGGCGGTGCCTATGGCTCAAAGAGTAGGATGCCAGCCCCATATACCAGGGGTGGTGGTTCAAGCCTGGCCCGGCCAAAAACAAAAACAAAAACAAAAAGCAAAACTGCAGAAACTGTCATGGTGCCTCTGGTTAGGAAGGCTATACAGGAAGATTGCCAAGTTCCACTTCTAGGCCTGAGGCCTCAGAATGAAACAGGTAGAAGGTGACAGCCCTAGCAAGGGCCCTGGGTCACACTAATCTTAGGACATTACCCACTGGGGTCTCTGTACAGAATGGGATTTAGATGGAAAAAGCTAAAGCTGACCACTTGCAAGACGCAATCCAGCTGTCCTCCTTATTACTCTCTTCCCAAAGTGGGTCCCTGGAGAAGTCACAGGCCCAGGTTTTCTGTGAACCCCCATTACACAGGGGCAGGCAGAAATTCCGACTAATCTCATTATCCTCCATTTTACTTCAAAGAAGTCTCCAACTGAATCTCAATCCCCTAGCAGGGTTTCTTGTTTTCAAACTATCCTATAGAGTAAGCCATCAGTTCTCCTAAACTTCTGATTCAACTTTTCACCCAGAAGGAAGTTGGTTGCTATTCCTTCTGGAAGAGCGCATCTGAAATTCAGTCAGGTTAGCACCAGGGCAAGATGACAGGGAACCCACAAATGTGCCTTCAGGATGGGAACAGCTTCTTTGGCAATGAAGAAACTTATTTACTGGTGGAGGGAATCCTGGCTCCAGTTTTACAGAGCCTGGTGAGACTGCTTCCCTGGAAGGTCCAAGGATAGGGGAAAATGGAGGGCCAGGGATGCATTTGGGAAGGGGCCTCTCACGGCTGAGAGTATTCCAGAGTTAGCCAGTCTCAATGCCCTCAGGGAGTTCCACCACAACAGGAGCACAGTCCTCAGGCTCCGCAGCAAAGTCCCATCGGAACTTCTTGGTTAGGTGAGCTTGAAATTTTTCAGCTTTCTTCCTCAGGGTGGCATCCACGGCAATGCTGCAGGCGGAGGAAAAGAAAACCTACAGAGAACAGAGAATAAGTCACTCCTGAGGACACAGAGGGGCGAGAAAGTGGTGGAAATTTCCCTATGGTGTTCATCTCTCTGGGGTGAGTGGATCAGCTGCTGCTGGCACAGGGCCAGGACACCTGCTGTGCTCCCCCCAAACACAAAAATAAGGTCCAAACCCAGCTGAGATGCTGGGGCAGGACCAGGATGGAAAATTACTAGCCAGGGCGGAGATGTCCCACTGACTGGAAGACCAGGGGGATCTACTAGGCACCTGGGCAGTAACTTGGAGGAAGAGGTACAGGGGAAGGCTTGGAGGGCACGTGAGCCTCTGGGTCTCATAAGTCCCAGGCCCTATGCCAACAAGACTGAATTGTTGCTCTATTCTTCTAAATGGGCCATAAGTTGCCAGTTTGAGGCTTCTATCTTCTTAAAAGCTTCTGTGCCATGGGTCTCAGAGTGCTCATAACTCAAAGCAATCTCAAACTCTTGGGCTCAAGCGATCCTCTTGCTTCAGCCTCCTACACATGCTGACCACAACACCCATCTAGTTTTTCTATTTTTAGTAGAGACGGGGTCTTGCTCTTGCTCAGGCTGGTCTGGAACCTGTGAGCTCAGGCAATCCATCTGCATTGGCTTCCCACAGTGCTAGAATTACAGGCATGAGCCACCGTGCCCAGTTGATTTTTTAAATTGTGGTAAAATACACAGTCTCTGACTTCCTAGGACATGATGTGATACGCATTCAGTAGAATTTGTACTTGAAGTACCCATACAATCATTCTGTTTTTCACTTTTAGTACAGTATTCAACAAATTACATGAGATATTCAACACTTTATCACAGAATAGGCATTGTGTTAGATGATTTTGCCCAACTATAAGCTAGTTTAAGCATTCCAAATACATTTAAAGTAGGCTAAGCTAAGGTACAATGTTTGGTAGGTTAGATCTACTAAACATATTTTGACTTAGAGTATAGTAGTTTATTGAGAAGTAATGCTATCATAAGTTGAGAAGTATCTGTACAGAACATAAAACCTGCCATTTCAACCATTTTTTAAAAAAAAACTTTTCACGTGAGAAGGAAACATTTTCATTTTTTAAACTGTGGTATATTTATCTTTTTTTTTTTTTTTTTTTGAGACAGAGCCTCAAGCTGTCACCCTGGGTAGCGTGCCGTGGCATCACAGCTCACAGCAACCTCCAACTCCTGGGCTCAAGCGAGTCTCCTGCCTCAGCCTCCCAAGCAGCTGGCTGGGACCACAGGCGCCCGCCACAACGCCCAGCTATTTTTTTGGTTGCAGCTGTCATTGTTGTGGTGGGCCCGGGCTGGATTCGAACCAGCCACCTTATATGGCTGGCACCTCAGCCACTTGAGCCATAGGTGTGGAGCCAGTATATTTACCATTTTTAAGTTTACAGTTGAGTAGCATTAAGTATATTCACGCTGTTGTATAAACATCACCATCATTCATCTCCAGAACTGCTTCATTTTTCCCAGTTGAAACTCTGTTCCCACTATACAGTAACTTCCTCCCACCAGCCCCTGGCAACCAATATTCTACTGTTCTCTATGAATTTGAGTACCTCTTATAAGCAGAATCACTTAGCATTTGTCCTTTTGTGACTGGCTTATTTCACTAAGCATAATGTCTTTGAGGTTCATCCATGTTGTAGCGTTAAGCAGGATTTCCTTCCCTTTTTTTTTTTGCAGTTTTTTGCCAGGGCTGGGTTTGAACCCGCCACCTCTGGCATATGGGGCCCGTGCTCCACTCCTTCGAGCCACAGGCACCACCCTAGGAGTTTCTTCCTTTTTAAGGTTAAATAATATTCTATTATTCACATTTTGTTTGTCCATTCATCTGTCACCGGCCATCTGAGTTATCTCTACCACTGGCTAGTGAGTAATGCTGCTATGAACATAGGTATACAGATATCTCTTAAGGTCTATGCTTTCAGCTCTTTAGAGTAGAGACCCAGAAGTGGAACTGCTGGATCATATGGTAATTCCATTTAAATTCTGATGAACTGTGAACTGTGTTCCACAGAGGTTGTATATTTTATATTCCCACCGACGATGCACAAAGGTCCCAATTTCTCCATACTTGTTATTTCTTGCATATGTGTACATGTTTAAAATGATAGCCATTCTAACGGTAGAAGGTGGTATCTTACTTTGATGTGCATTTCTCTAATGATTAGTGATGCTGGATACCTTTTCATTGGCTTATTGGTCCATCTGTATTTCTTTTTTAGTGAAATATTCAAGGCCTTTGCCCATTTTTAAATTTTTGCTGTTGTTGTTGAGTTTTAGGAGTTCTTTACATATTCTGGATATTAATCCCTTATTTTGATGTCCTCATGAATTGTTTCATTTAATACAAACAGGGGCAGGAGGGCAGAACAGCAATTTTCTCCACATTCCAAACCGTCCTGGGTCCCAATCCCTTTCTAAGAATAACAACAAACCCATTATTTCTTCTCATACTGTTTTAGCCTGGAGTTTTGTTTTTTAAGAGACAGGGTCTCTCACTCAGTCACCCAGGCTAGGGAGTGCAGTGGGTGATCACAGCTCACTACAGCCAATCTCAAACTCCTGGGCTCAAGCAATCCTCTCACCTCAGCCTCCTGAGTAGCTGGGTGCACCACACTGTTTTGTCTTTGTTTTGGGGATGGAGGCAAGATCTGGCTTTGTTATTCAGGCTGATCAAGAATATTTTACAATTTCAGTTGCACAGTGTATCCAACTGGATCTTTACAACACCCTGAGAAGATACAGTTCCTATTTTAAGGAAATTGGAAGCTGAGAGGAGTTAAATGACTGGATCAAAATATCCAGAAAGGTATGTTTTCTTCTCAGTTTCCCATCTGCTACCCTGCAGGACCACTCCAGAGACACAGGAATATAGAAACTCTTTGACATCACCCTCGTGCCATAGCTAACCCTCAGGCCACATGGAAAGATTCTAGGCTCCAGGAGGCGTGACCTGACAAAGGTAACAGGTATCCACTGCAGCTGAGTCTAGGGATGATACTTCTCCCATCTACTTCTCCATCATCTTTCTATTAGCAGGAATGCAGCACACTTTTAGAGGTCTTTGGAGCCACTCTGCTGGAGGCAGAAGTGAAAGGGGCAGATACAGAACCTGACTTCATTAACTTGGAAATCGACTAAATACAGGAGTGGGAAGCACAGCCACAACAAAATGCCAGATCAATAACTAATTAGAGGGGCTTGTGTGACCATGGTGGCAAGAGGGCAGTGGGGAAGCCAGTGGTCAGCCTGTCTGGAGGCAGCTAATGGAGCACAGCTGAACCTGGAGGAGAAGGCTTGTATGGGCAGCAGAGAAGCCTTCTTTCAAACAGCATTAGCTCCAGAAGCCCTGAGGGTTGTGGGGAGCCCCTTCTTGTCAAAAGCCCCTTCTTGTTCCCCCTTCTTTACACAGTAAATTATACTACTGTCTCCACAGCGCTTGCTTTCCAGTCATGAGGTAGCTGTACAAACATGTACTCCTGCCTCCTGTGTGCCTCTGCACAGGCACACATGCTTTTCCCTGGGCTATTAACACCCTTCCACCTCCTGCCTTCTCTTCTCCTTCCCTTAGCAGATTTTTACTGATGGCTCAAGCTGAGCTCAGACATCACCTCTTTTAAGGATGTCTTCCCAGACAAGGATAAACAGGTGTGCTCCTCCAGCACACGGGATTACCTTGATCATGGCATCAATCTCAGTAAGGCAGGCGTCCTCAAACTGCGGCCCACCTAGGACATTTATCTAGTCTGCCGGTGTTTTTGCCGCCGCTGCCTATCCTGCTTAGCAGCCAACTCGTCCTGGGGCCCACAGTCTGGCCCTCCAACGGTCTGAGGGACAGTGAACTGACCCCCTGTTTAAAAAGTTTGAGGACCTCTGCAGTAAGGTAATAGGTCATTTACTGCTGATTCTCACCCAAGAGACAAAGAGCAACTCCAAAGCAGTGACCCTTCTGTTTTTGCCATCCATGCTCTTGGCACAGTGACACATTAGACAAAAGTTTAATGAACATACGAATGATGACCACAGGTTGAACTTTTGATTCATTTTCATATAGTACCTGGGACTAAATTGCTCAATAATTGCTGAAGATAAGAGACTCCTCCTAGGAAGAGATGGCTTATTTACCAGGCCCCTGAATGCTGCCAGCTCACAAGTCATCTCCTTATGACAAGCTGAAATGAACCATTCCAACTTCTGTTCCCTGGGCACTGTGTCTGAGCCTCCCTTATGGCACCTCTCACGCTGTGCTTGCATCACAGTGATCTGAGCCTTGTAAATGTAGGGAATGAGTTCTAATTATCAACGTGTCTCAAACAGCTTATCACCCAGGGCCTGGCACAGAGTTAAGGCCCATAGGGTGCTCACTGAATAACAAGAATGAGACATAGGCATCACCCTGCACTTGGCAATGGCCAGCAGTGAGAAGCTGGAACAAGCTGGGCTCAAGCTCATCACCCATTCTCCCCACCCACCTGTCAAGCATTGCCGGGAGTAAAATCAATTAGAGAGGCAGGTACAAAAGAAGCCTCCAGGCTGAAAAACAAGCCTTCTAATTTGAAAAGTGCCTTGTCCTTTTAAAAGAACTCATCATTTATTCTTTACCACAAACCTGAGGTAGGAGGACAGGAAATTACTATTTCTACTGTACAGAGGGAGACACTAGGGTGCTTCATCATGTAGTGATAAGTGCTAAGCAAGATCCAATCCAAGCATGGGTATCTCAGTTTAATCCTTCTTCCCTACCAAGACCTGCTCTGTTTTGACAGGCTTAGTACATCCTTGATATTTATTTTCTAGCACTGCCCTGTGGGGAACCAAAAAGCTTTTGGAACTATCCCTCTGTAGCCTCTAGGCCTCAGGGCACAGTCCAAGTTGACTTCTTTATTAATAAATCAACTTTATTGGGGTATAATTTATGCACAAATTCATCTATTTTAAATGTTTGATTCATTTGAACAAATGTATATGTTATCTATA